CCTCAGCTCTTTGAAGAAGATGCAGCTCCGGGCCCACTCCACGATGGAGAACAGGGTCTGGTCCGCCATGCGGCACATGAGGCTAAAGGTGCTGGTCTTGTCCAGACGTCCACGGCCGTTCTGCTCCTGCTGCAGGTGAGCCACAATCTTGTTCTGGACCACCAGTTCATCTGGGTCACAGCGCAGTAGTTCCAGAATCAACGGGGGCAGGCTGGGGGGCTGCGGCGAGGAGGACAGGTACTGGTCTGGGTAAGGGTATCCAGTCAGGGACTCGGGGGAGCTGGTGTAGTCAGGACACTCAGCTTTGATTGCCCTACTGGGAAAGGCCGTGTACTGGTATTGGGGGGTCAGAGGGGGCACGTGAGGCTGCATGGCCATGCCCAGGGTAGTGGGTCCATAGAGGCCGGACTCGTAGTCTGTGGGGGTGATGGAGGTTGGGGTGGAGGGGAGCAAGCTTTTGGAGATGGTGGGAAGTGCATGGAGGGTCCCAGTAAAGCTGTAGTCCGTCTGCAAAGGGGAGGTCGGTGGGGGGAGCACGGTCTCCAGCTTAAACCCGTTGGATCGAATCAGTGCCTTCTTCTGCTGCTTTAAGGCCCGGTCCCGCTTGTACAAGGGTCCAAACTTATTCCTCCCCCCACGCATGCGATCAGCACGAACCGCTAAGACAGGGGACAACAGGGGACAACAGGGGACAGGTTAACAGGGGGACAGGAACATGTGTAATGTTTTTTTTTTTCATGTTGGGTCTTAAGTGAGAAGTGCGATAACAGAAAAACGGGTGCCACCTAAACATTCGGCTGTGGTAACAGTGAAGCCCGTGCTGGGAGTCCAGCAGCTGTTTAATCAGGCCGTGAGTCGGCTGCCTTTGCCGGAATGAATGCATCCAGATCAGAGTCGGTTCAGCTCAGAAATCCAGAACCATTCCCACAGAACCTCACAAATAGGATTCTGCTTCCCTTTTAGGGCTGAAAGATTCCCCAGAGCTCCACTCCTCATTCTCTCTGGGATTTATCAGCTAGTCAGGAATGTGAGGCTCTTTTTTTCCTAAGGAAGCAGGTGCTTTCCATTGGACAGCTGTCTGGGAAAAAAGACCCATCCCACAGAAACGGGAAGCCACCAAGCCCAGGAGAAGCAGTTTAGCCACTTTCAGCAGCTAATAAACACACTTTTGTTAGAAAATTATATTACACCAACAACCAGTGTAGCTACAGGAATTAATGTTGTGACATGATGTGACTAATTATAATTGTACCTCTTTATGGAATTTTTTTTAGAAAATGCATTTTATTAAATTATAGATAATAATTTAATGACATTAGTAATCAAAATGTGTAAATAATAATAATAACATGCTGGACTTGCTTTCATATTTTAACTGCATCAGAACAAACCAGAGTAGACCTAAATCATTATTACTTAATATATATATATATATATATATAATAATAATTATTATTATTATTATTATTATTATTATTATTATTATTATTATTATTATTGTGGTGTGTACCTTCGAGCCGCATCCCCACGTTGAGGCATTTCTGGAAGCGACAGAACGGACACCTCTTCCTCTGGGTCTTATCGATCTTACACTCCTGGTTTTCCGCGCACGTGTACCGCTTGTTGTTCTGGACCGTCCTCTTGAAGAAGCCCTGGACACAAACGGAACATTAGCGGTGGCCGGACCGGACCGGATACTGAACCCCAGAACCGGTAAATATTCACAAAAGTGTGGAACACAATTTCTCTGGGGAAACATCTATTCACGATTCAGTTCCGTGTCTGCATGTCCCGCGGCTGTCTCGCGCTCTCACCTTACAGCTCTCGCAGGTGAGCAGGCCGTAGTGGTACCCGGACACTTTGTCTCCACACACCGGACACAGCTCCTCCAGGTCCTCATCATAGGTGTACTCCATCACCTTCAGAGTCACACCTGGCCGGAGCGCGCGCACGCACGCACGCACACACACACACACACACACACACACACACACACACAAACACACAAACACACACTTCATTTAAACATCGTGTGTGTCGTTGTGCCTCTACGTAGCGGTCAGACGCAGAGTGATGGTTCAGATTTATGACTCGCGTCACAAGCTGTTTCATATCAAATACAATAAATTAAAATTAAATGAAATAATTCTGAGTACAATTAAACGCATTAAAAACCAAACAGATTCTAGTGAAATAAAAGGCTTTCCGACATCGTGACTGTTGGGTTTTGGGTTTTGCGGCCTTCATGCTTCTACAGTCCTACATCAGCTGAAGCATGAATGAACTCGACTAAAACAAGAGTAAAACAATACAATTCCAAGGAACACGGAGTTGCTGTTTGACATTTAATTATTTTTACCTTAATATTATTACAATGAGTATATTATTAATATTATTAATTTACATTAAGCTAAAGCCCTTCTTGCCCTTCATCAAAAAGGCAAAAGTGGAATATTTCCATTGCTTATGTTCTGGTGAGGGAGTTAAAGGGAAAAAACTTCAAACGTTATTTAAGATTTTTAACAACAAAGAAATGCCGTTTAAATCAGCTTGTGTGTGGCTATTTTGTCTAACTCCAGGCTTTCCCTACATGTCTGTCTCGTCCATCAGGTCTGGACGATTATTTGATGAAGACAAATAAATAATAATCTCACCCCCATGCTGCGGGCATTATTTCTAAAACGGTTCTAATCGTTTTATTGCAGCGACGGGCCCGGTTTAGACGAGCGCTCCGCCGTTAGGAGCCGGTCCCGCAGACCAGCTCGGGCCTCCAAGTCCACCGGGCTGACACGGAATTCGGATATGACCCACCGGCGGCCGAGCCAGCTCCACGCACGGTGGAGCAGCCGGACCAGAGCGCGCTACAGGTGTCTAACGGAAGAGTTCAGCGCGCGCGCGCGTTTAGCCTCGGCTTCAGGAATAAATCAGGAAAACAATGTATTATTATTATTATTATTATTATTATTATTATGTTTTTTTGTTTGTGGGGAGGCCCGCAGCGTCTATTATTATTATTATTATTATTAATTATTATTATTATCTTCATGAATTCTTTGCAGAATGCCACTGTTTTGTCCTGGTCCAGTGTGATTTATTAAAGCTGGTTTACATTTTAAATAAGTTTTAATAAATGAATGAATCTGGGTTATTTCTCCACACACACACACACACACACACACACACACACACACACACACACACACACACACACACACACACACACACACACACACACACACACACACACACACACACACACACAAATGCATGCGCACACAGTTCGATCTCAGTAGCGGGTAAATTGTCAGCTTTAGCTCACATTTTCTGAGCGTTCCTGGGCTCTGGTAAGATTAAAGTCCTCGGTTCTGATTCGGATCCAGAACTTGGGGATGAGCAGAAAGTGGAGGACTTACCGTGAGCTTTGTCTCCTAACATCAGAGCAGCTCCAGCAGCAGCAGCAGCTCCAGCAGCAGCAGTCACTGGGGATCAAAAACCTGGATGTTCTGTCTGAGTTCTGCAGCGTTGCATGGACCACTGAGCGGAACCGAACAAAGAGACAAGAACCTCTCCAGGTGTCCTCTGCTCCAGAAACCCGGAGTCAAACTCGTTTGGTCTGCTGCTCTTTACTGTCCTCTTATCGCCAAAGTTTGGCTGCCTCGCTGCTATTGGCGGACCACGGGTCACGTGACGGATGCTCGCTGCTTCTTCACAGAAAAATGCCTGTAGAGGGGGACCGGGACGGTTCACATTAAACATGAGAGAGTGATTAATACAAGATATAAGTTAGAGAATGACAACTAATAATAATAATAATAATTATTATTATTATTATATTGTTATTGTTATTATTATTATTGTTATTGTTATTGTTATTATTACTATTATTATTATTATTATTATTATTATTAGTAGTAGTAGTAGTAGTAGTAGTAGTAGTAGTAGTAGTAGTAGTAGTGGTTGTAGTAGTATTGTAAATATTCTTATTCTTGTTATTCTTATCATGTATCTGATAGTTTGGTGTGTTGTGCGTTTTTATTGTATCATTTTCTGTTTAAGTATAATCTGGAATTATTACTTGAATTTATTATTATTATTATTATTATTATTATTATTATTATTATTATTATTATTATTATATAGAAGAAGAATAAGTTGTGTATCAACAGTATATATTGTGTTCCTCAGGTGATTGTCCTCCTTTCCTGTGCATTTTATTGTCTTTCTATATTTATCTGGAACTGAACGTAGCTTTTCCAGATTAATAATGCGTGAGTCTGACAGCACTTTTAGCTGACTAAGCAGAATTAAAACCCAAAGCAGCTATTGTTAGCTGAGACAGGAAGTGGCATGAGGCTGCTGAGGGTCACGGCTCAGAGGAGCAGAAAACCAGACTCAAAACAATCGTTTCACAATTGTTCACCTGGAAATGAGAGTGATTACTGAGGCCCAGGAGCTTCTGCTGCAGGAGGATGCTAACATGACAGCATTACTATTCATGTGACCTCACATTAGTTATTGCATCATCACTGGATGTTTTATTAACATGTGCTTTCTGCTTCTCTTCAGAACCATGTTTTACTCATCCGAGGTAAACTACTGCAAAAGCTGTTCAACATGAAATATTAGAGTTTAGGTCGTAGCAGACAGCAGGGAGGAAACCGCTACTAATGAAACCTGGTGCTACAAACTCACATCTTTCTCATTTGTTTTTCATGTCTTCATGTTTGTTCTTCATGTTGGACACGTTTAGTTATTTGTCTCATTTTCTACTCAAATAGCTCAGATAACTTTTATTTGCAGATGTTACTGTTTTCGTTTTATCTAAATAAAAAGGATAAACCAAGAAAATGCATATATATATATATGTATATATATATATATATATATATATATATATATATATATATATATATATATATATATATATATATATATATATATATATATATATATGTGTGTGTGTGTGTGTGTGTGTGTGTGTGTGTGTGTGTGTGTGTATATATATATATATATATATATATATATATATATATATATATATATATATATATAATAAATTGTGTTATTTCAATTAGCTCTTTTGGCTTTTAAATCCATCTACAGTAAACCAGCTCCTGTTGCATCTGACTGTTATTTTAGTGTTTAAAGAGAGTTGTTTCATTCCGTTACGGTAAACATGTAAAATGACAACAACAACAAAAAATACTACTTTTGGGCCCGGATTTACTCCTGAGGAAATCTGTTACTAAAAGTAATAAATAAAAGAAAGTCAAGGTCCTTAACTGGTTTAGAAACGCTGCTTGGAGCTCCCCCTGGTGGAGACATTCACTGGCTCTTAGGGGAATTTGAATGTTAATATGATGTATTGGTTTTAATCATGAGTCTGAAGTAAGAAGGTAAAATATAAATGCAGAAATATGTATGCATGGACGACGTCATTAAGCTTCCCTGTCACACGGGTGAGAAACTGCTGCAGGAGTTTAGGCATCATTCATGCTGAGCTCATTAAGGCCAGCCCGTCTGCCATTGAAGTGTTTGCTCAGCAGAGGGTGCACCGGCCAGAAGACAGCTTCTATCTATCAACAGGTTTCACCTCTGACCCCCCCAGGGTACAGACAAGGTTCCTGCCTCAGCCAAGGAGACCAGAGCCCAGATCGGCCCGAGCCCGGCTGACCGGTGGGGGGGAGCCGGGCCCTCTGTCACTGAGGCCAGAGACATATGGCCTATCTGGTGTTTGTCTCTAACGGGGTTTTGTTTTGTGAGTGTGCTGTGGCTACAGTATCACGCCAGCTCCGTCTCCAGATATATTTGTACAATAAATAAAGGGGAAGGGCCCAGTCCAGACTGGTGTTTTGACTTCATCCTCCGTATTTGGTTCATCTATGCTCCCCACCCCCCCCCAAGCTCTCACCCGCCCACAGGCACTTTCTGCTGGAGAAGCAGGATCTGGGATTAAAGGAGATAAATGTCTAATCAGTGTAGGTGAAAGCAGGATGACTTTCTATGTTTGCAGATTAGCTTGTTGATGATCAGCTGATCTTCTGTCAAAGTGATAAATAACCCTCCAGTAGAGTTTAACTCCCTCTGCAGCTTTTCATATTTTAACACATTTATAATAATAAAGTGACTTTGTTACTCTGGATCACTCCATCAGTCCTGTTCTATCTGATCAAATGTCTGTTCCTACTGCTGTGGTGAATGTGATGGATGCATTCTACGCTCTGCTGGTTTGGTCTGGTACCGGGCTAGATGTGATCTGAGTTGGTTCTTGTTCACAAGGCAGCTTCTTCATATCAGCAGGTCTGCAGCAGTCTCCCCTTCAAACCAGCACAGGAAGTCAGGATTTTCTGTGTTGTCTGTTCACGCCCCAAACCGAAAACCACTAAACTAAATCATCTGTGTGCGGGATGTTCAGGACAGAGAATCAAAGACTTCTACTGAAAAATGAGCAGAGAAGGTCCCTGCGTACCAGTCTATGTTTAGCTATACCAGTCCACATGGACGTAATTTTTTTTTGGGGGGGGGGGGGGGGTGACAGGGGGGACATGTGTCCCCCCCCCCACACACACTTTTTCCAAAGTCAAGTTTTGACCCCTGCACTTTTTACCATCCAAAAACAATATTACGCTATAATAAAGTGACACTGGTTGAGCTCTAGGACCAAGCAGAAAACAACCGTTTGTGCCTGTTTCCCATTAGAACGTACTGTAAAGATACCCCCCCCCCCCCTCTAAAGTGAAAATTACGTCCATGCCAGTCCACCCCGGCACATACCAGACCACAACGCCCCACACCGGTCCATACCGGCTCATACTGGACCACAAAGGCACAAACTGGCTCACATCGGCCCATTCCAGCCCACACAGGTCCATATTGGCCCACATCGGCTCATACTGGACCACATCGGGCCATAGCGGCAGATACCGCCCCACACCGGCCTGCTATGCACTAATACCATTCATGCTAAATGAAGTCAGTTCATCTAAATTCTATCTAATAAAATCCAAACCAACACAACTATAATTCTTTTGACATTAAGTGTTTTTGTAAATATTAGATGTCAAATTAATCAAAAAAATATATAAAAACTCACTAATATTGTTCTGATTTTGAGTTCTTAGGAATATTTTTGTGTTTCTGTGAGGTGAAAAAATTACACTTCAGAAAAGTTTAATCACGTTAAAACAAGAACTGGGTTCAAGTTTAATCCTGACTCAGCTTTTAGTCCATAAATGTCCGTTCAGGTTGAGGTTGGAGCTGGCAAGAATGTTCCAGAAGCTTCATGACCCAATCGGAACCAGCTCTGATGTGTTTCTGTGCTCATTCTCCTGTTGGACCAGCCACCCAGGTGTTGCTGATGGTTTCAGGTAAAGCTAGAGAATCTGGAGGTTGTTCTCTTCCACTTTGTTCACCAGAACCACATCATGATGCTGCTATCACCATGATGGACATTTGAAGACATTTGCATTGTCCATGTGGAAGCTGCAGCTTGAAGATGTCTCTTTAGGACCAGCAGCTTCATTCTCGGTCCTCTCAGGCTTTTCCTGGAGCTCTAAAGTCAGTACATCAGGGAGCAGAAATATGTTACCTGTCTCACAGTGTCATATACACAGCTACATGCTGAGTGTCCTCATGACTGTCCTTGACCAAGTCAAGGCACAACCAAAACAAACCACTTACCAAAGGAAATAAACTAGAATGATTACAATAGCATGAAAAAAGTAAATCTGGCAGGGGGTTTCCCTCTGCTCCTGCAAGGTCACAATAAAAGAGAACTCCAAATCAGCGTTCCACGCTGGCAGCTGCCCTGCAGGAGAACTCACCAGAGGGGGTCAGGTCCTGCAGGACGTCTCTGGCTGCAGCTACACTGTAGACGTAAATGATGCACATACTGGAAGGATAGTCGGTTCTCCAGAGGATTCATGTTGTCCTCAGAGACAACTCTGGCACCTGAGTGTTCACACATGCACGAAGGACTCAGACCAGTTTCAGCATCTGGAGGCAGCGCTGACAATAAAATAGTCCCAGCAAATCATTTCACAATATTCCTTCTTTTGGTGGAGTTTGGGTTAGTGTGTGTGTGCGTGCGTGTGTGTGTGTGTGTGTTGGGGGGTCCTTGCCCTTGATGCAGTTCCGGGTCTGGAGCACTACCTGTTCTTTGCATTGTGTGGGGTAACAATAGCAGAATGCTGTCAGATAAACTCCATCGCTGCCTTGCCTCCTCTCTGAAAATCCATCATGGTCCACTCTAGTTCTGCCGGAGTCCACATCCGGGACAGTTCGGTCTGATCTGGGAATACAATCTGATCCTGATCCGACTGATAGAGGGAATCTTTGGATTTTCCAGGAAATTAACCCAATAACTCAAGATAACATGATGATCTCATTCTCAAGAATAGTCATTAGGAGGAGGAGTCCATGTGGATTTTGTCGAGGCCGTGTAACACTGGACCAGCTCTACACCCTTACGGGGGTCTTGGAGGGTGATTGGGAGTTCCCTAACTGACCTATATGCATTTTGTGGTTTTGGAGAAGGCGTTTGACTGCATCTCTTGGGAGGCCCTATGGGGGGTTCTTCAGTGGTATGGGGTACCAGTCCCTCTGATACAGGCTGTAGGCCCATGTAGGTCCCTGGCACGAGTCAT